TCCAGGTGGGTGTTGTTTGGATCTGGCTGCTGTGCTCCACTTCTTCCTGCTGCAGTCGTTAGAGTTGAACCCTTTGTGTCTCTCTGGCAAGATGTTCTGCTCCTGAATCAGCTGGGTAGGTCTTGCCTCTAGCCTCTTTGCAAGGAGTTCTGCTGAAGGGTTCCGTGCTGGGCCTACACTCTGGGTCGAATGAGGATCCGCGGCCCTGGGTCGTCTCACTCACTCACTGGGCCTGTGCTCTGGGTCTATTCAGGATCCTGCGGCCCCCATCGTCTCTATTACTAAGTTTTTTTTAATGTTAAGCTCAATTATTTGCAATACAGCCATTATCTAATTGCAAAATTGACATTTTACCATAAAATCATGAAGTCATTTTCTAAAACATATCCAGTGGAATCAGTACTATTGCAATTTGGCCCAGCCTGTTTCCCATTTTCAAAATATGAATAAAGACTTCCTTAACAGTTGGAAACAATATTGTTAAAATTTCCTCTAAATCTTGTGTTTCCTTGGAAAATGTGATCAAGCTTAAACATATTTAACCTTGAAAAGATTTTATGTCTATGACTTTCCTCTGCAACATAGAAACATGTGAATTGAAATTGAGTTTTTCAAACAATACTCTGTACAGGGCATGGAGATTCATGCCTACAGGCCCAGCAACTTGGTGGACCAAGTCAAGAGAATTGCCTGAATCTAAAATTTTGAATCCATGCTCATTTTGGCAGCACATACACTAAAACTGGAACAATACAGAGAAGATCAGCATGGCCCCGCGAAAAGATGACATGCAAATTCGTGCAGTGTTCCATATTTTTTTGACAAAACAAATCCTAAAAAGGGGATAGAGGGGCTGGGGAGGTGGCTCAGTAGAATAGGCACGCGCAAGGACCTGAGTTCAATCCCTAGTTCCGCCAATAAATAAATAAATAAATACATAGGGCGATACAAATGAAGGACTATTTTGTGTCTGTATATACAAAATAGTTAGGATAGATATGCAGCTACTTTGTCTTAACTCAATAAGAAGAAAGAATTTGTACTAATGATGTTTGGAAAGGATATCATGTCTGCATCTTGTACTATGAATAACCACTACTACTAAGACAACAATGTGCAATGTATTAGTTGTTGAAACTATCCAACTAACCAGTTTAGAAACTGTCTCATTGCTATTTGTTTCTCAATAACATTAATTTAAAAATAAATAAATAAATAAATAAAATTTTGAATCCAGCCTGGGCAAGAGATCAAGAATCACTGCAAAATGCATGTTAATTATAATGCCTTAAGTTTTAAAATTTTTATTTGAGTCATTTTTCATTTCAACCTTGTAGTTGACTGCATAATGACTCAAAACAATTTGCATGTTTTAATAATTCTATATCATAAAAACTAAAATTTCATTTGGAGTGTAGCTCTTAATGAGATGCATGCCCTTGAGTTTCTCAATGTGCTCATTTATTTGTGAGTGGACAGATTTCATTGTTAAAGGAGATGACGCTCAGTATAAATTTTATTCCTATATGTATTTTTATAGTAAGTTCATACGAACAGGAACATGAGATAGAAAAAGTTCTATTAGAGTATTAAATTTATGAGGTCTTGATATAAGCCCTTCCAAACCAGTAATGTAATATAAAAATTATTCTTTATTATCACTTTTAGTTTTGAAATCTACCTACTTTTGCTAAAATAATTGACAACTTTTCCTGCATAAGAAACTTTTAGTTAAATATTAGAATTTTTCACTTTAAATAATGCTATAATACGCTTTCAATGATACAATAAAGGTAGTTTTTCATTGCTTCTTCATTTCTATTGGAAATTTGTGAGACTCCAAATCCATATACCACACTGGTGAGGAAGAGGGCTGCGACTTCCACACTGTGGTCGAGCACTTGTCTAGAATTCACGAGGCTCCAGGCTTGATCAACAGCACCAGCCAAAGCAGAGGTGGGGAAGGGCCAAGTGTATCTTTTGTAAAATGGGAGAAAAAATTATGCAGAGTTGTTGGGAGGGAGAATTTGCAACTCCATCTGGACTGGTCCTTAGGCTGCTTTGCATTAGGAAAGAAAATACATGATGACTAAGGGTCTAAAACTGATGTTCGTAAAATCACCCATGACCCCGTAACCTGTATTATTCCTTCACGTACTCCAAAGTACATGTACCTGCTTTGAAGGCCACAGCTCAATATAATGAGTCTCCTGATCTGATTTTAATGAGCTTTTGCAAAGGCATTTAACGGGTGAAGGTTCAACAACAAGTTTCCAGCCAGACCCTGGCTACAATCCTACACCGAGTGCAGTCTGACACATATTGGAAGATGGGGACATCTGCCTTCTTGGCAGAGTGACAGGTTCTTGAATTTTGGGGAGACAGAGCTGACAAATTGCCCGTATCACAGGCTTTAGGCCCCTGTGCATTTAACTCCTTAGTCCACAGGAAAGTGGCTTATATAAGTCTTCTCAGATTCTTTATTTCTAAGGGGTAATAAGCACCTGAGAAAAGCAGCCTCATTAATTATCTCTATTTCTTCACATTTCTTCTTATAAAGAGAGGGCTATCCCGCTAGCTTTCTACTCTTTAGTCTACCAGAACCTATTACAATACTTCCTGCAGAGAGGAGCATGCTGCTACACCTCCCTTCCACTCTCTGATCTAACCTCCTCTATTACTCTTTTGCAAAGCTCTCTGGCCTACTGCTTTTACAGCTCTCCTATGCCACTGTAATCACATGTCTGTGTGTTTACTTAATTAATTCACATCATTCCCCGCCATTTAAGAGAAAATGCCCATTTAGCTCGCTACTGTGAATACACCTGACACTTAACTTAAAACTGTAAAGTACATATTTGTTGAGTAAATAAAGGAACCCCAGGCCTTTTAGAGTTTTACCTCAAGTGACTTTAGAATTAAATCTCTTCCTTACCTCAACTACAAAAGAATTGCACAATTTTCGATATCATCCATGCCATTAGTGATATCTTTGATAGTGTATGTTAGGTAGCAAAAACAGAAAGAAAAGATTAGGCTGGGTAGACTACAAACACATAAAAGTAGGACAAATTGCTAATGTTTAATGTAAAACTATGAAATTTTATAGTCTTTCAAAGTAAACTTGGCTTAATAAATTTACATACGAAAACTTGAACTAGAAGATGGTAAACACTGTGTTTTACATTTTAGCTATTGTTGTTTTGTCCTTTACCTTTTTGTCTCTTTGCTTGTTTGTTTTGTTTTCTGAAGTCTTTACACACCCATACCTTTGGTCTAAAAGTAACTTTTCAAGTTGTATAGTTACTCCTAAGAAGTTTCAAGATGAGTAAATTACCCATAGCACTGCTTAAAGAAGTTCCACTAGAACTATTGAAGCTTTAGCCTTCATAATGAGTCTGTTTCTTGCCAAATATTTGTCTTCAGTGACAGTAAAGGGCATAGTCTGCCCTGACGGGAACCAAAGGCTAGACTTACTTTCTGTCAGAGAGACAGCTCTTGACCCCACTTGACTTTTCAACCTTTATGTTTCTTAGGTGTTGCTTCCACTGTCTAGGATAGTGTATTTCATTGTGAATTGCAACTTGAGGCTTCTCTACCTGATGTTCTGTAAAAGTAGGCAAGCTGTAGGGCTAGTTTTTGCCTGTGCATTGTTTTCTTAAGTCTTGGTTTTTATTCAGCAGTTTCCTGACTTATCACCTTGTGCAAAAATTCATGAGAAATGGTGCAAAATATTTGTCCATTTTACCCATGAGTTCATGTGAAGAGGAATTGATAATGCCTAAGATGAAAGACCACAAGGTGAAATTCTCGGGTGATGGACAGTGCAGCAAGAAAAGACGCAGAAATGGTCTTTCAGCCATCAAATAGAAAGTTTCAATCAAAGTCCGTAACAATGGGCTGTCATTCTCTTCCTTTTGAATTGCAACTTAATTATTTGATACCACTGTTATATAAGCTTTGTATAGTCTCCAAATTTAGAGAAATTAAAAATAGTTCTAATATCCAGTGATGGTGATCATACCTCAATGCGTATGCGTGTGTCGGTGTACAAGACGGACACTGAGACCGGCAGACAGCGACAAAGAGAGGGTAAAATATGTCTGTGATTTTGGTAAACATGATATCCATCATCTTCCCCATTCCCATGAAAAGCAAGTATTATCTACCCACCAAATTGTACATGCAATTTCCAAGTATGTAGTGGTCCATTTAAAGTCCACATGAGGGCAGAAATGCCACAGGGCAGCTAAAGATGGCGTGAGCTTAGTTCAATGTCTCAAACACTTAGCTTTTATAAAATCAGTTTTGCAGCATTAATTCCCCTAAGGAACTGTCCTACTTACACACCTAGCTGGTGACCATGGTTGGAGAGTCAGCAGGTATACGTCACTACCAAAATATAAAAATAAGGCTGGAGAGATAGCTCAGTGGAATAAGCACTTGCCTGGCAAGCACAAGATTCTGAGTTCAATCCCTGGTCCCACCAACTAACTAACTAAATAACTAAATAAATAAATATAGTCTTCATCTTCATGAAGGAATAATTGCTATCCTGAAGGTCCTCTGAATCCTCAACTAATACCTTCACTCCCTGCAGGTATTCCTAGGCCATGCCATGATCCTGCAACTTGAGAACCAAATGCTCATCATTTCTGACCATTCCCTGGGCATGCTTTATGTAGGTTTTAGGAAACATTTTGAATGTATTCAAAATGAGTTCACCAATTTAACATTTCTTAAGAATCATGATCTAACCAGATGGCAAGAAACATCTAGGGACTTTCTTTTGCCAACTGAAATTGAGAACATAGATGAGAAGTTGATTTTGTCCTGTCTCTTTAAGGATAGGAACCTAAAAAGGTTGCTTCTGGGATAAAATTCCAGCAGGAATATCATAAAGAAGGAGGGAGGGGAGCAGAAAGTGACAGGAGGAGATTCTGGAACAAGAAGTGAGAAAAAAGGAATACAGCCTTAGGGTGTGTTTCACACTTACTTTTGTCCTTTAGGAAACTATGGCACACCCATTCTCGTAACTCTAATGATAGGTTATGGCCCTGGTATGAATTGCTGAATTATTACGGTGGTCATCTAATATGGCTGAAGCCCTTAGAACAACAGCTTATCTTCCAAGAGACCACCTCCCCGCTTCTTCTCCAACTCAGCCCAGGGTGTGATTTCTTTTCACCTCTCCCACTACATCAGGGAAGGCCCCAGTCAGCTCCTCAGGTATATCTAAACATACCTTTCAAGCTCTACCCCTGGCAACAGGCCACAAAAGCCTCAGCCTCCCTTTGTTCTAATCCAGAGAATTCCTTATCTTCCCCAGGTTCTTTCAATGTCCTCCAACACAATAAAGACCCTTTCCCTTTTTCCTTCTGCCTGTTTCTCTGCTGCTCCAAAACCTATCATCTAATAGGAATCTTACTCTGTTTCCTCACTTCCGGTCACCAGAATGGCCAGTAACGGTGTAAAAGGCAGTTCGTTCCTTTAATTTATAAGCTGGCAATAAGGGATGAAGCCTAAGATAGAGTTGGCTGGCTACAAAGAAAACAGTATGTATTCCAAATTAGGAGCTAATTCCACATAGCCAGTTTATCTTAGAAATATAAAAGCAAGCACAGGAAAAATGATAGAGTTAAGAACATTAAATCTCAAGAAAGAAATTTCTTGGACTGCAACACTAAGTTATTTAACAATTTTTTTCTACCAGGAACTCAGAAATGCAGAGTAACCAGTTGTTTTTTTTTTTTTAAACTCTACATTACAAAGCCTAAAACCCAACAAGTTATTCTAAATCCAGAGCCACCTGTGATAA